TGTTTTTACAATCTATTTTAGGAAATATGTGTAATTTTTATAATTTTATATGTTTTTCTTAATTGTATAAAAATGTTTAATAAATATAAACAGCTTAATTCTTCAGTTATAATACTATTCAAAAATACGATAATATGTATGTTAAATCAACTTTTTGTTTGCAGTTTATAATGTGCTGTCAATCGCGAATGTATTTGTTGAACATTTGTTGATTGTTTTTCTTTTTTTCAATCATTTGTTGTCCGCCATTTCTCTCCATCTCTTCTCTTTGTTCTGTTCAGTCTTTGTTTTATTGACTTGCCTTTCAATCTGTTAAATTTGCTGCAACGTGCTTTGGCCTTTTGTGTGTCCCTCAGGTGTCGCGTCAGTTATGCATCGCTGCGCCAATGTGTGTGGCAAGCCGACAATAAAAAAGGAAGAAAACACAACAAAAACAAAGCACGAAAAACGAAAAACAAATGGAAAATGAAATGCGAAAACAATAAAACAGTGAAGAGTAAAGGAAATCTGTAATGTTTACAACGTCGATGTTGGTAGTTGCATTAAAGCTGTTTATTCATTGCTCTCTTTCGCACTCTGTCACTTTGTCTGCCTCTCTCCCCCTCTCTCTCTCTCTCTTTCTGTTGAGCTATTTAAAGCAATATTTTGTCGTTGTTTACGTTAATTGTCTGCCTTTATTTTTTTTAATTAAATTGTCACTGTAAAATGTTAAATGAACGCAAAGACAATAACATATTCAGCAGGCGTTTTTATTTATCCCCTGCTGCATACATTTCTGCAGTTCGTCCAGTGGTGGTATAATTAAATTATGAGAGATGCGTGGGCCAAAAAGTGTGTATGAGTGCACGACACACACAGAGACATACTAGCTGCATGTTTGGGTGTGTGTGTGTGTGTGTGTGACCATCAGTGCTTGAGCCTGATCTAACAAAAAATTTAATCAATATTCTCTACGCTCGGAATTTAACATGGAAATTATTTTACGTACTTCAACTACATTTTATATGCATGAAATATATATGAACTATTACAGGCTTTTGTTTTTAATTAGGAATATATTTTAAAAAATGTTTGATGAATTTTAAAATCTCGAAAATTTACTAAAATACAAACAATATATTTTATTCATAAAAA